TGAGGTCATCGCCATCTTGGATTACAAGCGGTAGTTTTCCCGGCCGTTTCGACTTGCACTGATCACGGTTACTAAAAAAGCTGACATAAAACAAGTTTTATTCTTGAAATTCGACCCTGTGTCTTAGTGTTCCCACAGTTCTTGACAGAGTGCTCACGTTTATTGAAACCTCGCATAAATCAAGAAATAAGTATGTGTACAAAGTGTACGAAAGCATTCCTTTATTTGACCTTATCATACGATCACAAAAGTAACTTTTTAAAATCTTTTTGGGGGTGGTCCTCCGGTAAGCGCCCACCCCCAAGTTTTCCCGATTTTGTATGTTCAGGCCCCTGGACGCGTGCCCGGGGTAATACGGTAATGGCAATTAAACTACTAAAAAAATTGGCCATCAAAAGTCTGAAAAGTTACATGCAAATGTGGTCAAGTTACGTCGAATGTATATCGTTGCGTGCAAAATGGGTAAAATGATCTTGAAAGTCTGTAAAGTTGCTGCTAAGTTGGTAAAGCTACGAAAAAGTGCAACTTGAAATGCAGATAAAGTAGATAGGCAGGCCATTTGCTAGAAAAATTAGGCCTTATTTCCTGTCAAAGTTTTCTCTTCGGATTTTATGCCAGGAAGCATGTTAGAATGTATTAAACCTTGGGGCATGTTTGGCTTTGGGGCATGTTGAACATTTTCTAAAAATTCAAGATGGCGGCCCAGTTTTTAAAATGGCGGCCTTTTAAATACATAATTGCTATACTGTGGAGATATTGTCATTATAATTGTGCTATTTGGGGGGGGGGCTATATATTTTCGCTATACTTTGGAGATATTACATTATAATTATACTATTTTTTTTTCTATCAAAGTTTTCTTTTCGGATTTTATGCCAGGAAGCATATTAGAATGTATTAAAACTTGGGGCATGTTGAAAAATGTCCAAAAATTCAAGATGGCGAACCTGTTTCAAAATGGCGGACTTTTTAATATATTTAATATATTTGCTATACTGTGGTGATATTATCATTATAATTATACTAATTTTTTTTCTATCAAAGTTTACTCTTCAGATTTTATACCAGGAAGCTTAGGGCATGTTGAACATTTTCCAAAAAATCAAGATGGCGGCCCAGTTTTTATATGGGAAGTTGCGTGCAATGTTGACAATGTTACATTAGAAGTCTGGAAAGTCGCATGCCAAGTTGACAATGTTGCATTGGAAGTATGGAAAGTTGCGTGAAAAGTTGACAATGTTACATTGGAAGTGTGTAAAGTTGCGTGCAAAGTTGGCAATGTTACATTGGAAGTCTGGAAAGTCGCATGCAAAGTTGACAATGTTACATTGGAAGTCTGTAAAGTTGCGTTAAAAGTTGACAATGTTACATTGGAAGTCTGTAAAGTTGCGTGAAAAGTTGACTGTTACATTGGAAGTCTGTAAAGTTGCGTGAAAAGTTGACAATGTCACATTGGAAGTCTGAAAAGTTGTGTGCAAGGTTGACAATGTTACATTTGAAGTCTGAAAAG